TCGTTTAAACATTATTTGCAAGCGGACTCAGTATCAGACTTGTGTTTTTGTCTCATGGGTTTTTATTAACGTCTTACACATGCATACCAGCTTCTGATAAACTCAGATAAACTATAGCTTGAATGTGCCTTCCTACGAGCAGTAGAAAGTTTTCAGTGCTATAATGTGTTTAAATCGTACGATAAGGAATTAACCTGATATTAGCGAAGACATCCTAATTTCTGTGGTTAGTAGAGTGTAAGCCTTGTCTGACGAAGAAATCTCAGATTAGCAGCCCATATAAATGGTACCAGAATAAATTAATCTGTTATTGGGTGAAGAAATCCCCACTTTCAGTTTAAATGCATAAGTCTTAAGTCTGACGAAGAAATCTCAGATTAGCGGCATGAATTAATCTGCGTGGCGAAGAAATCCCACTGGCAGTGATATTAAAACTGGGCGACGAAGAAATCTCGCTGCAGTATATTTACTTTTAATAGTGATTTGAGCGATGTTCCTCATCTCCCTAAATTAAATGATTTGTGAATGAAGTTGTATGCGACATGTCATAAACTGACTGTTATGCCCCGCATGAGTTTCCCATGCATGTTCACAGCAGTGCAAGTTACCAGTTTCTGATCAAAATCAGATAAAACTATAGCTTGAATGTGCCTTCCTACAAGCAGTAGAAGTTTTCAGTGCTATAATGTGTTTAAATCGTACGATAAGAAACTAACCTGATTTTAGCGAAGAAATCCTAATTTCTGTTGTTAGTAGAGCGTAAACCTTATCTGTCGAAGAAATCTCAGATTAGCAGCCCATATAAATGGTACCAGAATAAATTAATCTGTTATTGGGTGAAGAAATCCCCACTTTCAGTTTAAATGCATAAGTCTTAAGTCTGACGAAGAAATCTCAGATTAGCGGCATGAATTAATCTGCGTGGCGAAGAAATCCCACTGGCAGTGATATTAAAACTGGGCGACGAAGAAATCTCGCTGCAGTATATTTACTTTTAATAGTGATTTGAGCGATGTTCCTCATCTCCCTAAATTAAATGATTTGTGAATGAAGTTGTATGCGACACATCATAACTGACTGTTATGCACCGCATGAGTTTCCCATGCATGTTTACAGCAGTGCAAGTTCTGCTCCACTTGCGCATGTTGTAAGCTTGCATCGGTCTCTTAGCAACGTCTGACCCCAGAAGTTGAGAGTAGCCTCTTCCGGTTCAATCTGATAATAGCACACACGTCACAGACCTTTGTGTAAACAAAGAACTGTGTGTAGCCAACGCTAACTCTTTAGCAGCCATACAGGCTAAGCTAAGCCCTTTACCTCAACTGCTAGCTGTTAGCATCCGACTAACACTTAGATAGGTGTGAGTGTAAAGTGCAACTTTCAAACCACTCCTCTCTCTCTCTCTCTCCCCCTCACTCCTGGTTTCACTTCCTGTTTGTGCTATCACCTTCTCCTTGGATTCAGTTAGGTCGGTCCCTCCCCACATACTTTGTTTTTATTTGTATTATTTTTATTTTGACTTCATTCTGCCTCTCTTTGATTTTATTTTCATTAATTTACCTTTGTTAAGCTTGAGTGTACCAATTCAGCTATGTTGATTTTAATTAAATCTGAGATTTAATTAAATCAATTTATTTATTTTTCCTTTTAGTTTCCTACAGCTATTAGAACCTTTTCGTTTTACTTTTACCTTATTTTAGTTTGTTTGACGTGTCCCTGCTAGTTTAGCTAACAGTATCCCTAGGTTTATGGCCCTGCTGCAGCATTCCTTTGAACAAGTGACACCTGCTTAGTCATATCGCCTAGCTTAAACTAAATAAAGGAAAGTGTCACGGTTTTGTCACAGCGGTTTACTAGAGAGAAACCCAGATGCAGAATGATCAAGGGAGTGAGGTTTATTGACAAGGCAAGGATTAACAGGGCTTATGTGAGAGTCCAAACAGTAGGAAAGGGCAGTCTGCTGGTCCTTGGTCAGACCTGGACAAAGTCTTGCTGGAGAACAAAGGAGATAGAGCAGCCCCAGTCAGTGAGAACACTGGATATCAGGAAGCAGCTTGAGAAACCAGGGCTTGATACTTTGAGCTGTAGTGATACCAGCCCAGTCAGATAGCCAGGTCTTGAGAACAGCAGCCAGGAGGGATTCAAGACAGAGAACATGAACAAACACAAGACATAACAACACACAAGACAAGACCACAAGAGAGAACAAGCAGCAGCAAAATAACACTCTGACTACACCATCACTAGAATGAAAAAACAAACAAAGAGAAACAAATACAACCTGCAGAAAGCAAATAAAACAAAAGAACCAAAAGGCAAATTCTAGGAATCAATAACTAGAATAAAAACTGGGCAAAGACAAAATCAAAATAAATAAAAAGAAGCCAAACTAGAGGCTTGAGAAAACTAGAGCAAACATAAAGACAGGAACTAGACTAGAGCAAAATAACAAAAGCAAAGAAACCCTAATAAACTTCAAGAGAACTAAATAAAAAGCTAGACTGACTAGGAGAGTAAAATCTAACACTACTAATATGACGAGTAGACTGACAATGAATTGTCTAACACACAATGAACTAATGCAACGAGCCAGCAAAGACATGAGGGAAGAGGCACACTATAAAGGAGCAGAACACATGAGGAACAGGTGTACGCAATCAAGTTAACGAGGACTAGACTAGGACTAAACAAGGGGGCGTGGTAGAGGGAAACAAGGGGGCAGGACGAGAGGAGCACATGGCCAACATAAACAAAGACAAAGCCATGTGCTCAGACACAAGACAAACAAGGAAACGTTAAACAAAGACAGAACAGACATGACTGTCAGGGCAGGACCCTGACAATATCAATGATACTAAAATATCACTGAATATATTATTGTGTTATACAAACCCGATTCCAAAAAAGTTGGGACACTGTACAAATTGTGAATAAAAACAGAATGCAATGATGTGGAAGTTTCAAATTTCAATATTTTATTCAGAATACAACATAGATGACATATCAAATGTTTAAACTGAGA